TTTATGTACAAGCAACATTTTGTTCGCAACAAATATAATTTAGATCCGATCTCTTTAATGAGAATTCTCGTGATATGTACGGCTGGAAGAAAATTGTTTCGTAAATATTTTCCCTGAATTAAGGCAAACTGAATCATCCGTGATCCTAAGATCTACGGAAACGTAATCTGATTCTGAAATCTTGCGGTAACGAACTTACTAGAAATGGTTTTTATGTATCAAATATTTTGGTGAAATATTAATACTGCCTTGTCGTTGTTTACGTGACAATAGTTTATTAGTTCCATAATTCGATTCTCGGGTCAAGTTAAACGTCGACAGAGCTTTTATGACATAACAAAGAGAGGTTTTGACATTAAAATGTATTGAATATGACTAGTCAACCTGCCTTTTGCGGGTCTCTATCAATAAACGATTGCATATTATTGCAATAAAGACGCGTTTATGAAATCACATGTGTGTGTGAAATTCTTGTTTTAGATTTTATGATTCATTTATAGTTTAATTATACGTAGACTGAACTAAGAGAAACGAGGTGAACCCCTTTTTACTTGAATTTAACGCACAATAATGGGCAAAATTATAGGTACATACATAAAGAAGAATAAGTAAATAAAATATACATAGTTAAAATGGGATGTAAAGGTAATATGTATTATTCTCATTTAAACTAAAGTTTAGTAACACAGCCTTTGGTGTTAAGATTGCTTTAAGCGGCTAGAACAAGATTTAAAATACTGGTGACTTTTGAAATTTACTTAATTAAGAGTCGTGAGTGGGACATTTAGAGTATGTTTATGCATGCATGTAACGAACACGGATGCGCAAAGTTACATGTTACAAGAGTATAATTGAACTTGCATGACCCCTGTAATTGACAACTTTCCATAATCACTGGTATTATTACATTGTTTGCGGAAACTCACGATTTTTCTAATTTCATTTTATATTTTAAGGAATTTCCTTTTTGAAGTGATTTGGTAATACATATTTTTGCATATGACGTATACGTTTATGCATAAGAGCAAAATAAAGGTGTTATAAAGTAAATTTTAATATGGTGTTTTAGAGCCATTCTATTATGTCTCTTGATCGACTTTTATAAGGATTATTTTCCGAGTCTTTTAGTTCAGATTAACACTTTAGTTATTACCATTTATCTACAAAAATAATTAGCGATGTAATTTGCTCGAGAGATTGCAAATCGTCGTCTAATTAATGAATCAGTGACTTAAAGAATTTTATTAGATAACAAAGGTGTAGAACATGATGCCATATCGTTTTCGATTTTCATAGAAAAGCGAACTTACATAATTTTAATCGTTACCCAAGTCATCCATATTACAAAGTTAATGTGGAAAGGGTCACTGAGTTCTTCGTTTTGCAACGACTTTGATGTTTCTTTATAAAGTGATTTGAATATTTTCGTCGTAGAAGCTCAGCTTGTACAAATAATGTCTAATTTATTAGCAATAACCGTCATATTATATGCACACAGCATTAAAATGTGCGCGCGAAAAGTTCAAGGATAGAATTAACGGTTTTTTTAATAGTTGAAAGATTTAAATGCAGTCTATCAATATAAATAGGTAGATGCTGTAAGCATAGGTAAATACATACACTATTGTTTTTCAATTACGCATACTTTAGTACTATTGGTAAGCGGCTTAACAAAAATGGCCGCTTAAAAGATGAAATAGTATTAGTTTATTTCCAACGTACTTGTTGTTATTTAAATAGGTAGTCGTATGAATAATTATTTATTAATTTCAAATTAATCAAATGATAAATTTATTATTTTTGACTGCAGATGTGTTTCTTTCCATGCATAATTCGTGTCAATTTATTCGAATCGTGTTAATAAAATGTTTTTTTTAACGATCAAGATGTTATTTTTTGTTTGCACCATTAGTGCATATATATGCATTCATTGTTCATACATAAACTATGAATACTACTATTGTTTTAGAACAATTTTAAATAGTAGAAATGAGAGAAATGTAGTCAATAATAATATAACATCATCACGCCTTTTATCCCCAAAGGGTAGGCAGAGGTGCACACAGAAGTAACACCCACTTTTCACTATTTATGTTATGAGTCCCATGTAATAGGGGGTGAACCTATTGCCATATACCGGGCACATTTCCAGACTTCGTGCTACTACTGAGATTTTTTTTAAAAACCCAGTAATACTTTGCCCGACCCGGGAATCGAACCTGAGACCCCTTGCCCGGTAGTCGCACTTGCGACCACTCGTATATTTTAATATTATATTCATATCCAGTTTTTTAAGAGAAAATGTAGTGTCATGGAAATATACAAAAATTGTTGTGACCTATTAACAAAACGTGTTCGTATTTAGGATAGTCTAGTTGCCTATTTCCATAAACCAGTTGACATTCACAGTAGGCTGTGTTCTATAGGCCGCGACTACTTCTGAATCGGTATATTATTGGTATGTCGGTCACGTGTCGCGAACTCGTAAACGTCCAAATTGTCATCCACCGTTGAGATAAAGAGTGACCATTATTTCAACTTGTATACCGTTGTCGATTTTATTTGACAAATGTTAACGTTTTACTGTTTTTTGTTCAATCAATTTTGTCTGTATTCTACAACTTTTAGTATACCTACATTAGCTGTCAAATAAAATTGGTATGTACTTTCTTTATGTGTAGGACTACTATTAAAAGGTACATTTTTGCTAGTTCATATTAAAAAAATGTTAATTTTGTTAAAAATTATTAGGGATCTTTTTGAGCAATGGGCTATAAATTATGAGTAAAAAAACGTTGATTGTAACTTGTAATTAGATTAATCGTGAGTGATACCACACTATGACATATACGTTTATATGTTTGCATGTATTTAGAAACGAGTTTACGTTGAAAACGAACTCTGTGTCGGAAAAACCATCAACTTTTGGAAACTGACAAGCTGATGATAATGAAAATAGACAGCCAGGTCCGGTTTTCATGAATACAACGTTACAATAAAGAGACTTAAAATATGTAAAATATTTCCATATGTGCATAAAATGCATAATTAATTACGTAAACCTATATTTATCCAATCAAAATAGTCAACAAAAGCTTTACATAATTTAATTTTACGTCATTTATGTCTTATTTTAACTTCTTTTGTTGTTGTATCTATATTTTCATTATAAACTAGTTTCTACCCGCGACTTAGTTCCTTTTTCTCCGCTTTCATTCGATGATTTTCCCCCCTTAAAAAAAACCGTGACTTAGTACGCGCAATCCCGCTTTTAGAGTTTAGGAAAGTTGTAGATAAAGTGGATCCTATATGTTCGTCTCTTGGTTCTAAGCTCCCTCCCCACTAATTTTCAGCCAAATCTATTAAGCCGTTCTTGAGCTATATATAATGTAACTGGCACGAATTTCTTTTACGTATATAAATGAATAGGGTTTGATTGCTTTCGTTTGTTTGATGCGCTTCTAAAATGATTTAATGACTGCTCCCGCCTAGGGTGCGGCGGGAGGGAGTGTCAGACTCTTACTGACTAAAAACCACCCCGTTCCTTCTCCTGCACGTCGAGCCGGAGCCCCGGTAACCAGTTAGGTTCTCCGCGACTAATGACATGACTAGGACGCTAGTAGGCGGTTGTAAGTAAGTATTTTTTTAAGAACTTTAACCCTGGCCTGACTGAGAAAGGGATATAATTCTCATATTTGGGTGTTCAAGTTTATGAGTTGAACTAGTAGCTATTGCTAAGCATTATTATTAATTTCGTAGCTTCCAGTAGGTCTTTTTATAAAAAATCTAGTCCTGACTTTTATCTAGGATAAAGTTTTTAATATAAATTCCTCAAAAAAAACTCTAATGAAGAAGTCATCTTTTATAGAATTTTAAAAAGATAGTACTTAAATAACATTAATGCAATTTTAACACATGCATTTACATACAGACATATTTATTAACATGTATTTCTCATAGGCTTAACTAATTTACAACATAACATCGCGTCTTTTATGTCCGAAGGGGTAGGCAGAGGTGGGTGGGATTATGCCACTGTACAATGTAACACCCACTTTTCAATATTTATGTTACGAGTCCCATGTAATAGGGGGTTCCAGACTCCGTGCTACTACTAAGATTTTTTTTAAAACCCAGTAATACTTTGCCTGACCCGGGAATCTAACCCGAGACCCCTTGCCCGGCAGTTGCACTTGCGACCACTCGGCCAACGAGGCAGTCAGTTAACTAATACACAATTTTATGAATATCGATATTCAAAAACGTAGCACGGGCACGACTTAAATAAATCTAACATTGCCAAAGTTTAACCAGAGAATTACTTGAATATACTAGAATGCTAAAAACAATTAAATAATATGTTCATTAATAGCTTTAATTAAGTGTGTACTTAACAGCTTACACGGTAATTTTCAGTAATTGAAATTCAGTTGGTTAAGTTCAGTCCGTGTGGGAAATGTTCGCGGTTGTATCAAAGGGTGTTTAATACTTGAAACAAGCTAATTAACTGGCAACATTAGCATTTTCAGAACACTGTTCATTCATGAAATTAGAGTAATCTGGAATTACAACCTTTTACTAAAGAAATTAAGATTGTTAAAAGCTTGGCAGGTGAAAATTGGATGCCATAATAATAAAAGCGATTTAAGAAAAAAATGTAAATTGCAAAACATGCATAAGTAAGTACGTTATATTCAAAAATATTGCAAAGTAATTTGATACACACTTCAAGAATACAACACAATTTACATTTTGTTTCTTATTACTAGTGTCTATTAAAACTTATGAAATCCTTGGACAAATCAATATTCCGTCTATAAACGACATCTATTAACATTTGAAAGAAAAAATACTTTGATATATCAACAAAAAAATATTCAATAAAATAAATGTTCACTGTTTTCAAATAAATATTCATTAAACTTCGGAAAATTATCAATGGTCAAGCATTAAAATTATTGAATATTTTTATTTGGAATGTGAAACAAAAAAAAACTTACCAAGAAATAGAAGAGTGTTCCCGGCCCCATGGCACGGGATACGGCCTTGTAGGCCTGGTTATGACCTTGAGACGCAGGCTTCCCGTCACAACCTCAATCCCGACAACACAAAGCAAATCCTACCCGGCGCCAATTAACTTAATATTTTGCTAAAATTCGCTAACATGACCCGCTCTCCGACGGCCGGCTTTTAAAACTAAAATGTGCAAACTCGAAGATGCGCCTCTTATATTACCTCTTACGTTAACGTCGGATACCGCAACGTATTTGGCATATAGGTGTAGCTTTGTAAACATGTGTGGGTGTATTTCGGCGATGAAGCCTTTGATTGTTCATTAGTGTGCGTGCTTTTGGTGACACGCTTGATAAGAACGCGCGTGTGTGCGCTAGGGAATGTGTCCTTTTACCATAATTTAAACTAAGTAGTAACGTAAATCTCTGATCACCCTAATTAATTTATTATTAATCCCTTTTGTAACTTTCTATCGTAAGGATTTATTGCATAGATTAAATACATTTTTAGTAGTATTAAGGCCTGTTTTTCTTTAATGGTGTTCTTCAAGGGACTTGGAACTATAGTTGTTTTGTAGTCAGTTAAATTAGATGTTTAAGATTCTGGTAGCGTAGTTACATATAAAAACTTAGCATTTGTTATTCGTGTTATGGCATAGAAAGATGTAAATTAAGTTTATAGAATGTCATCAGGTGATGAAGGTCCCATTCATTGGTACGGTTTGTATTGAGTATATGGTAACTGACAAAATGATTTCCCACGAGTAATATTTTACTTAGACTTTACTTGTCATAGGTACCTATTACATACATATAATATTTCTGAGAAAGATTTTTAGATAGGCTTTCAGTCAAGTAATGGTATTGATGATAAATATCTTATTGTACCAAATGTTGGGAAATGTACAATATTTTCGTACTAACGATTTTGTTTTCCTTGGTGCGACGAAGGAAAAGAAAAGCTTGACAGCCGCATAAAATATTTTTATTTACTAGTTTGTGACGTTTCACAAGAAATGTTATTTCTGGGAATGTTGTAAATAAATTCGTAGCGAAATTTTGTTTATCTGGCATCGTTATAATGAATCGGTCTATTGAACTTGGACCAGAGACCGGCGCACATAACCATCGTGCCGCCCGCCGGCGCGGACGCATAAATTAATACATACGTACTTTTGACAACCGTTTATCTACCTCCACCAGTAACATATACATTTAGAACATGCTATGACATTTTAATAATATCCTTTTGGCAATCATCAGATGATTATCAAAAAATAATTGCATCTTCGTCAATTAAGACATAAAAACTATGCAGAATCATCCGGTAGTTTGTAGCCAAATCGAAATACTTATTATCAGATATTTTTATTTAGTATCCCATAAAATGTTATTTTATCATAACAAGTTCTGAATTTCCGGTTAACCTCAGGTACATGTATTCACTCGAGTTAAAATATTACGTGAGGTTTTATATCACACTCAGGCGACATTAACTTGTGGTTAACATTTGACTTTGCCAGAATTTCTAAGAAACTTTGAAAATAAATGACACAATTTCTAACCAACTTAGTTGCTTCACTTGTATGAGGGTTTTTCTTTTCCCTGTTTATCTCTTGTTCGTGATAGTAGCCATTTGTATACACGTGGGATACAATTAATTTAACTCGTCGAGTACCGGTTTTATAGACACAATTAAAGAACAATAGGTCGCGGTCACCGGTGACCGCTTGGTGTTTGACAGTTTAAATGTAGAATAGAATGCAATTTTTAGTTGGGAATATTTCTTCTTTGTTTGAGATTTAAATATGAAAATAGGTATGTTTAAAGTTTCTGAATGGAAAAGTTAACGTATTAAAAAGTTCTTACGAAATGTATAAAACTATAGTGATAGGTAGGTAGGTGTTTTCATAATTGGATATTTTTTAGCTGTTCTTGGTGGTTGTTCAAGTAGTCTAAAAGAGGAATTAATTAGGCTACAATTTTTGTACGGCAAATCACACACACACTGACTTTTTTTGCTCAAGTTTGATTTTTTTTTGTATCTGGAAGTAATTTATTGTTGCCCAAAGAATAATTCTTTTGGTCGTAAGTGCGATATTTGCTTGAGGTATCTTGAGGTATATATTCAAATCCCGAACAAACCAAATTATCATAAGTTTTTTCGATTTCGAAAGTCTCAGTAAAAACTAAGCATCCGAAGTTATATTAAAATACGGTTCCAGGAGTTATATCCTCCTGAAACTTAGTTAAAAGTATTTAAAGTTACAATAAGTAGGTGAAACACGTGACTAAATGGTATTATTTATAAATTATAATAATAAAAGATTTGTGATATATAAAATTCCATTGCTGAGTCAAAGAAATTCCTTGTTGATCACGTAATATAAGTGGTCACCTTATTATTATTGTATACATTTCGATTCAGGTTTGTTGATTGAAAATTTCTGCAAGACTTAATTGCAGACTGGTTTTATTTGGTATCAATTGGTACCAATTCCCTGGAACTGAGTCGGCCCCGAAATTTGGGTTCAAGGATGGTCAATTTAAGGGATACATAAATTAAATTGGGACGGAACTTTAAAACAATGATTTAATGTCTCACACATTTCAGTAACATAATTTAACTTTAATTTTTTTCAACTTAAACTGTGGGAGAGGCATGTTTCGACTCGAATGGACTGGCTCGACGGCAGTGATACCACGGACTTACAGAAAACCGACGTGAAACAACGCTTGCGTTGTGTTTCGTCGTGTGAATGAGGTTAGCGGAGGCTTAACTACCCCCTCCCCTTCCCCAATTTCCCTAATCTATGAATCCCCAATAATCGTCAAACTCCTAATCCCCAAAAAGGCGGTAACGCACATGAACGCCTCTGGTGTTCCAGGCACAGAACATATATACCCTAAGGGTGTGGTTCCAGGTCTCCATAGGCGGCGCCGATTGCATAGCATCAGGTGATCCGTCAGCTTGTTTTCCCATAAAAACAATACTTTTCTTTTAATAAGTAGGATTTTGTATAGATTGTTTTTCAGTGCTCGAGATTTCTAAACGCGAAGGTTAAGCTGTGAGATGTGTCAATCAAAATGTTTAATGGGATCTGCATTTTCATGATTCTCACTAATGTCTGTGGAGAACGCAACAGTGATTTGTATCTAGTTAGAAGTCCTATTTTTTAATAAGGCCTCAGTAAATCGAAAAAAGACCACGTTCGGACTTTTAATTGGTTGGTTCATTGGAACCGGCCAATCAGAGCGAGCGCGGTCTAGTTTCGATTATTTTAAACGTAAAAAGACTCGTACAGAGCCCTCTGGTGACTGAAAATAATCAATAAGATATTGAATCTAATGATTCTTCATTATAGAACAATTACTGCAATTATTGCACCTCACCTACCTTCTGGCACTGACAGGTGTGAACTTTGAACAAGAGATGGGTATCACATTGACATATAAACCTTTTAAAGACAGCAGCTGAGTCAGTTCATTGTTTCAACAATTAAGGACATCGCCCCTTAGCTTCTTTGGTTTTTGTGGGTAATAACCATAAAAATTAACATCATAAAACGTGCTTGTAGCACTTTATTTTGTTTTTGGGTGAATTAGAATGGCTTCTACGTGTGTAGATGACTGAATGTTATTATTATATGAGATATTCTGCTCATCCTAGTTTATCGAATTCATAATCATCAACAGCCTATAAATGTCCAATGCTGAGCAAAGCCACTTTTCACACGGAGGAGATTTGAGTATTAATCACCACGCTTGCTCAATGCGGGTTGGCGATTACAAACTTATAATTAGAAATAATAAGCCCAGGTTTTCTCACGATGTTTTCCTTCACCGTTTGTCAGTGGTGTCTAGATAATCTTAGAAAGTACATGTAACTCGGAAAAAGTCACATTGGTACTTGCTGTTGGTAGGTTTTGAGCCCGCTCCCTCATGCATGAGAAGTCAAGTCCCGTCTTGAACCTCCGGACCACCACGACAGCATTGTCGAATTGCTCAGTAGATATTTTCACAGCTGTCTTCTATCCTAGTACAGATCAAAGTCCTTACTGAGTGTAGCCGCATTTTCTTTTTCTTGTCAAAATGATGAATACGATTACGAGTAATTTAACTGTAAAAGTAATTTAAGATGGCAAGGTACGGTTGGTGCGGTGGCCGGGCAAGCGGCGACCCGCAACGTGTTGCGGGTTCGATTCCGCACCAAGCAACTCTTTGGGTGATCATCCATAAATTGTTGTCTTGGGTCTGGGTGTCATGTGTATGTGAATTTGTACGTTTGTAAACTGACCCACGACACACAAGAAAATAGTAGTGTGAGGCAACGTAAAAAAACTGCATAATTTATGTTTAGAATTTAATTCGAGATTATTTAAGTAAGAAATGCTAATTTATTTTATTACTTATTTCTTTATTTTTTCAGGTATTTACAATGGTTGACCAGGAAAAAGTGTTTAAACCCTTAGTCTTCACGATCTCAGTAGTCGAAGTGTTAATGAGTTATTCTATGTAGATCATGTTACATCCATCTTAAGCTGCGGGAGAGTCCGAAAGCCGCTCAATGCACCTGCAAGATTTGATACCGCGGTTTTTAATTTCATACCTTTAATTTTTCTCAGGTCAGGCTTTTCCCACAAAAGTAAAGAAAAGAGTATGTATATGTTTTATGCTACATATTAACTACCTTCTACAGTTTGCCCAGCAGTGGCGTACGTAGATACATAAATACAAACATATAAATGTGGTTTTCTGTACATCTTGTCTAATATTCCTCATCAATATTTTGTTACTGTCTATAGTATTAAGAATGCGTCATAATCATAAGACAGCAAAAAATTGGGAAAATTCATTTTCCCACACATTTTGTATGAATTACCATAACAGTTATTATGACGACGCAAAGTTCATTGAATCAGCTACGACTACGAGTTAATTGATTAATATTAAAATATTAATTAGTTGTAAATTATTATACATGTAGGTCCATCCTGTGTTTTAAACCTCGAAGGCTCTACTTATTATCACTTATGTTATTAGTCGATATTACATGTGAGTCATTGATTTAGAAATTAAGACATCAAGGGGTGAGCCTACAGGAACAATTTCAGAGTGCTTGCTATTGCTAAATAGTTTTCTAAAAACCGATAAAACCTCAATAGTATTTTATGCGACCCAGGAACTCTTATTCGGCAGGCAAAGTAAGGTACGACAACTCGATCAACGAGGCAGTAAAGT